CGTTGTATAAATCGCCCCAGTGTCGGAGTTAATAGAAACAAAAGACGAAAGTGGTGTGCCGTTTAAATCATTATCTGAAATTAGGTAGGATACGCGTGCGTTTGCTCCCAAATCTGCGTCATGCGCTTTGACACTGAACAAAGACAGAGAGGGCGAGTTATTCTCCATCACATACGCACAATATGAATCCTGTTCAAACTGCGGTGCATGATCATTTACATCCGTGATCTTAACATTTAATGTCTTTTTACTAAACAAAGAAGGGCTGCCGCTGTCTTTGGCTGTGATGGTAATATTATACTCATGTATGTCTTCTCTGTCTAGCTCGGAGTCCGTGACTATACTGTAATAATTAGTCAAAGATGATTCGATTTTAAACGGAAGGTCTCTGTCAATAAAACAGGTAATCTTTCCGTTTTCTTCAGAATCGCTGTCTTGTATATTTATCATGGCCACGACGGTGCCAAGTGGTGAATTTTCAGGTATACTGTTAGAAAAAGACATAAGCGTCATTTTTGGTGTGTTGTCATTTACGTCTGTTACTTCCACAATCACCTCTGAAGAATCTGATAACCCCCCCTGATCTTTAGCTTGAATTTTAAACTCATGTATTGAAGACTCTTCAAAATCAAGCTCACCTATCAATCTTATTTCACCACTAGATGGATCGACAGAAAACAGGTCTCGAATTTTGGGTGTGGTATGTTCAAAATAATATCCAATTTGTCCATTTGAGACGGTATCCGCATCGGTTGCGTTAACAATAACCAGCAACGATCCTTTTGCGGTGTTTTCCGGGATAGATATTTTGTATGTGTCCTTTTGGAAAACCGGAGCATTGTCATTTATATCTAAAACAATAACGTGTATTTTTACCGTGCCAGTGCGTTTCGGGTTGCCTCCATCTGTAGCGGTTAAAGTCAGATATAAATGTTCTTGCTTCTCTCGGTCTAAATGCGTTTGCAAAACAAGCTCGACGTTTTTACTGCTGCCGGATCGACTCTGAGTCTTTAGAGTAAAATGATCAGTAGGATGAACTGAATAACTCTGAATACTATTAATGCCGACATCAGAATCAACTGCGCTATCCACGGTAAAACGCGCTCCTGTAGAAGCAGACTCGCTTATTTCCAATGTAATTTCACCTCTTGGAAATGCAGGACTGTTGTCATTAACATCCAATATTTCTATGGTGATGCGATAGAGCTCGATGGGATTTTCTAGGATGACTTCAAAGCTCAGACTGCATGCGGATACCGCACCAGCGCACAAAAGCTCCCGGTCGATTCTCTCCTTAATAATGATGTGTCCTTTCTCCCGGTCCAGCTCAACATATTCCCGGCCACCCGCTGTAAATATCCGCGCTTTCCCCGTTGTCAACCTTTTAAGCTCAAGACCTAGGTCTTTAACTATGTCTCCGACGAATGAACCCGGTGCCATCTCCTCTGGCACGGAGTAACGGACCTGTCCGTACGCGCCACCGAGAAAGAGTGCACAGAAAAGCAGAACACACGACGGCCATGAAGAATGGAAATCCATCCTTCTCATGTTGATAATGGAGCTTCGACTTATCTTTCACCAAAATATTAAATAAAATATCCACTTGACAGCGAAGAAATGTCTAAAACTGGGATCTAAAAATGAAACAAAGCATTTATATTGCCTGTTAAATGCGTCATCCAGATTCTGCGGTGCGCAAGGCTTTGTACTAATGCACTGCCCAAGTGGCACGGAAGGCGTGTATGATGCTTAAAATCAGCCAGATCTACCTTATCAACCAACAGCGACGCTTAGGGTTCAATCTAAGAACTGCAAATGCTAATCACACGCGCGTTATGAGAGCAGTTTATGAAAACAGAGCAGTGCTGGAGCAAGGTGCAAGCGGCAGCATCCGCTTTTACGCACATCATTGTAAAATACCTACAGTGGAGAAAAACACGTTTCTTTTTCAAAACAAGCTGAAATAATTGTACACACTTTTAAAGAGACAAAAGCCTCTTGTGGAAAGTCAAAATGAAAATACACAAATGCGTAAAACTCCATTCTCGCACAATGTTTATTGTGCACTTTAACACATCACTAAAAAGAGTATATTTTAAAATAAAAAAATAACTAAATTAATTCAATACAATCTCATTCATCAAACCTCACCTGATTTTCTGTATCTTTGGATATCTGTTTATGCTCCTGAATGTGCTGCAGTGTCTGTGTTCCACCGGCGTCCAGACTAATGATGCTCTGACTATAAGGTCTGACATATTTCAGATCACTCTTTCTGGAGTCAGTAGTGCCACACACCTCATAATTAAACACTTGCTTTAAGGTTCCTGTGCCGCCTACGTCTGCGTAAAGAGGCGGATAATACGGAATAACTGGAAGATTCGCTCCAGATTTATAAAACATGCGCTCGCGTCTCCATCTGTAGCATTTGACTGACAGTATGGCGATGATAGACACGATAAAGAGAAATGAAACCACAGCCAAGGCCAAGACTAGATAGAAAGTCAGGTTCTCGTTGTATTCCTTGTCGTGCGTAAAGTCAGTGAACTCCGAGAGCACTTCAGGGAAGCTGTCCGCCACCGCCACGTTAACAATGACTGTAGCTGATCGAGAGGGCTGTCCGTTGTCCTCCACTACAACAGTGAGTCTTTGTTTGACAGCATCTTTATCTGTCACTTGGCGTACAGTTCTTATTTCTCCATTCTGTGCGCCCACTTCAAACAGCGCCCTGTCTGTGGCTTTCTGCAGTTTATATGAGAGCCAGGCGTTCTGACCAGAGTCCACATCTACAGCCACCACTTTAGTCACCAGATAACCCACATCTGCCGATCGAGGCACTATTTCAGCCACCACAGAAACACCTGACTGGACCGGGTACAGAACCTGAGGCGCGTTGTCATTCTGGTCCTGAATGATGATTTTGACGCTCGCGTTGCTGCTGAGAGGAGGAGAGCCTCCGTCCTGCGCTTTTACGCGAATGTTAAACTCTTTTGTTTGCTCATAATCAAAAGAACGAACAGCAAGAATCTCTCCGCTCTCTGCATTTACTGAAATATAAGTAGAGGCAGAGACGCCATTCACGAGAACATCCTCAAGAAAATATGAAACGCGCGCGTTATTGCCAGAGTCTTTGTCATGCGCTTTAACAGATAAAACAGAGACTCCGGGGGAATTATTTTCCAGCACATATGCGGTGTATGACTGACGCTGAAACACAGGGGCGTTGTCATTGACATCAGAGATTTTCAGAGTCAGTGTTTTATTAGTAGAGAAAGATGGCGAGCCCTCATCTATAGCAGTTATTGTGATATTATATTCAGACATATTTTCACGGTCTAAAATCTGCTCAGTAACTAAAGTGTAGAAATTTGAGGAGGACGATTTGATGCGAAATGGCAAATCTGAATTAACAAAGCATTTGAATTGGCCGTTTTTACCGGAGTCAATATCTTTAATGTTGAGCATCGCAATCACCGTGTCTGGGGCGGAATCCTCTGGGATGGGACTGGAAAATGAGATAAGACTGATAACAGGTGCATTGTCATTAATGTCAGTCAATTCAATGAGCACTTTACTGTTATCCGTGAGTCCTCCCTTATCAATGGCCTCAATATTCAGTTCGTATTGCTTTGATTTTTCATAATCCAACAGGCCATTTACGCATATTTGCCCAGTGTTCTGATCGATTCGAAAAAGGTCTAAGTCTTTCCCAGAGCTTTGTGAAAACGAATATGTCACCTCACCATTTGCTCCTTTGTCTTTGTCTGTAGCACTCACTGTCAGCACTACTGTACCAATCGCTGCATTTTCAGCTAAAGAAACTCTATACACTGACTGACTGAACGAGGGTGTATTGTCGTTTGCATCAATTACTGTGACACTTATTTTAACTGTTCCGGATTTTTGAGGGCTCCCTCCATCAAATGCCGTCAGGGTTAATTTCAGTTCTTCATCTCTCTCCCTGTCTAAAGGCGATTGCAGAATCATTTCTACGTATTTTGTACCATCATTACGCGATAACTCTTTCAATGAAAAATAATCAGTTGGTATCAGAGCATATCTTTGGAGCGTATTCAAACCTACATCAGGATCGTGCGCACTGTCTAAAGAAAAACGAGCACCGGGTACGGCAAGCTCACTTATCTGAAAGTTTATCTCTTTTCTAGTAAAAACAGGAGCATGATCATTAATGTCTAATATTTCTACATCAATTCTATGCAGCTCCATGGGGTTTTCTAGAATGATCTGAAAATGTAAGGAGCAGGGAGACACTTGCGCGCACAGCTCCTCTCTATCTATCCTCTCTTTCACTATCAGCGTCCCTTTATCCACATTCAGACCGATGTACTCACGACTGTCCTCCGTAAAGATCCGCGCTCGACCAGATTTCAGCCTCTTAACATCCAAACCGAGATCCTGAACGATATTTCCCACCAGAGAGCCCTTTGTCATCTCCTCTGGAACAGAATAACGGACCTGCCCGCGCGCAACGGCCATGACAAAGACGCAGAGCACGAGACGCTGCATTAGCCATGATGAAATCCGCGTCGAAGACGCGCCTCTCTGGGCGTAAAAACAACAAAGAACCGACATCATCCAAATCTTCTAATACATGAGAAGACTATACGAGGATTTGGAAAGGATGTAAAATATCAGTTATAAAGAAGATCCAGTCGATGGTCTGATCCAATGTTAGAAAGAGCCTGTGTGAAATGAGAGATATTCTGCAGACTGAATGATGTCAGAAAGTGGAGGAGGATCTAAAATGAGTGTTTAAAACACGAACATACTGACCAACAGCGGCACTTAGAGTATAAAGGAAATATTGCACTGGAAAAATACATAAGAATCACAATCACAAAACATTTTAATGCAGATGTTAAATTGAACGAAATTGCCAAAAGGCAAAGTGAAAAATATAAAAATGTTATTTGTGTCAAGTAATGCTTGACAGTTAAAATGTAAAGTAAAAAAAATCATAAATACTCACCGGAGCTCACCTGATCAAAAGAATCATCATTATTCAGATTTCCTCTTTGCGCATGCGTGAGTGTGTGTGTCCCACTGGTGTCCAGACTAATGATGCTCTCACTGCAAGGTCTGACGTATTTCAGATCACTCTTTCTGGAGTCAGTGGTTCTGCAAACCTCATAATTGTACACGTGCTGTAAAGTTCCTGTGCCGCCTACGTCTGCGTAAAGAGGCGGATAATACGGAATAACTGGAAGATTCGCTCCAGATTTATAAAACATCCGCTCGCGCCTCCATCTGTAGCATTTGACTGACAGTATGGCGATGATAGACACGATGAAGAGAAATGAAACCACAGCCAAAGCCAAGACTAGATAGAAAGTCAGGTTCTCGTTGTATTCCTTGTCGTGCGTAAAGTCAGTGAACTCCGAGAGCACTTCCGGGAAGCTGTCCGCCACCGCCACGTTAACAATGACTGTAGCTGATCGAGAGGGCTGTCCGTTGTCCTCCACTACAACAGTGAGTCTTTGTTTGACAGCATCTTTATCTGTCACTTGGCGTACAGTTCTTATTTCTCCATTCTGTGCGCCCACTTCAAACAGCGCCCTGTCTGTGGCTTTCTGCAGTTTATATGAGAGCCAGGCGTTCTGACCAGAGTCCACATCTACAGCCACCACTTTAGTCACCAGATAACCCACATCTGCCGATCGAGGCACTATTTCAGCCACCACAGAAACACCTGACTGGACCGGGTACAGAACCTGAGGCGCGTTGTCATTCTGGTCCTGAATGATGATTTTGACGCTCGCGTTGCTGCTGAGAGGAGGAGAGCCTCCGTCCTGCGCTTTTACGCGAATGTTAAACTCTTTTGTTTGCTCATAATCAAAAGAACGAACAGCAAGAATCTCTCCGCTCTCTGCATTCACTGAAATATAAGTCGAGGCAGAGACGCCATTCACGAGAACATCCTCTAGATAATATGAAACGCGCGCGTTATTGCCAGAGTCTTTGTCATGCGCTTTAACAGATAAAACAGAGACTCCGGGGGAATTATTTTCCAGCACATATGCGGTGTATGACTGACGCTGAAACACAGGGGCGTTGTCATTGACATCAGAGATTTTCAGAGTCAGTGTTTTATTAGTAGAGAAAGATGGAGAGCCCTCGTCTATAGCAGTTATTGTGATATTATATTCTGACATATTTTCACGGTCTAATAACTGATCAGTTGTCACACTATAGAAATTTGGGGCAGATGATCTAATTTTGAATGGCAAATTTGCAGAAATTGAACATTTAACCTGTCCGTTTCTCCCCGAATCCACATCTTTGACATTCAGCATCGCTATCACTGTGTCCGGTGCTGCGTCCTCGGGTATTGGGTTAGAAAATGAAATCACACTAATTACAGGGGGGTTGTCATTTACATCTGTAATGTCGATTACAACTTTACTAGAGTCAGTTAAACCACCTTTGTCTGTAGCATCTATGTTTAACTCAAACTGCTTCGCCCTCTCGTAATCCAAAACCCCCTTTGTGGTAATTTCACCTGTATTTGTGTCAATATGGAATAAATCAAGGGCTTTCCCTGAACTACGTGAAAAAGAATATGTAACCTCACTGTTTGCGCCTTGGTCATTATCAGTGGCGCTTACCTTGATTACTACAGCACCCTTTGGTGAATTCTCAAATAAAGAAACACGGTAAACCGGTAGACTGAAAACAGGGGCGTTATCGTTTGCGTCTATGACAGTAACACTTATCCTAACAGTGCCAGTTCTCTGCGGATTGCCGCCATCAAAGGCTGTAAGGGTTAACTTGTGCTCCTCCTGAGTCTCTCTGTCTAAAGGTAATTTAAGAACCATTTCGACGTATTTGGAGCCATCGTTTCGTGATAGAACCTTCAAATCAAAATTATCTGTTGGATTTAAAGTGTATGACTTGAGCGCGTTTGTACCAGTGTCAGGATCGTGCGCGCTGTCTAATGAAAATCGAGCCCCGGGAAGTGCAGATTCACTTATTTGAAAATCTATTTCCTTTCTGGCAAAAACAGGAGCATGATCATTGATATCTAATATTTCTACATCAATTCTATGTAGCTCCATTGGGTTTTCTAGAATGATCTGAAAATGTAAGGAGCAGGGAGACACTTGCGCGCACAGCTCCTCTCTATCTATCCTCTCTTTCACTATCAGCGTCCCTTTATCCACATTCAGACCGATGTACTCACGACTGTCCTCCGTAAAGATCCGCGCTCGACCAGATTTCAGCCTCTTAACATCCAAACCGAGATCCTGAACGATATTTCCCACCAGAGAGCCCTTTGTCATCTCCTCTGGAACAGAATAACGGACCTGCCCGCGCGCAACGGCCATGACAAAGACGCAGAGCACGAGACGCTGCATTAGCCATGATGACATCCGCGTCGAAGATGCGCCTCTCTGGGCGTAAAAACAACAAAGAACCGACATCATCCAAATCTTCTATTCCATACAGAAGAAAAGACAAAGAACAAAAGATTTAAAAAGGGTGAAAAATCAAACTTCACCCGAAAACACTGAGAAGCGAATGTCTCGACGCTTCAGTATTAAAAAGAGACCGTCCGAATGAAAGAGATATTCTGCAGACTGTATGATGTCAGAAAGTGGAGGAGGATCTAAAAATGAGTGTTTAAAACACGAACATACTGACCAACAGCGGCACTTAGTGCATCACAGAAATATTACACAGAAAAATACTGTTAGAGACAGTAAAAAAGAGAAATAAATTAAACCAGAGTATACTCTACATTTGTCGTTAAGACAGATTTAAAAAAAAAAAAAAATTCCAACAAAACGCCTAAAATATGATGAAAGGAAAATGGTCAAAAACAGAAAAGCAGAAATATAAGTATAATATGCAAGGCAGAAAATATAATATAGCCTTTAAATAACGCAGGTGCGATTCATTGCGACTCACCCATGCGCGCACACATACTTACAATTTCAGCCTCTTACATGACTGAGTGCAACTAGAAAATATATTTAAAATACCGTGCATCTAATTTTCTACACAATATTGAAATGTTATGTTTTTAAAATAAACAATTGTGAAAAAATTATAGTCACCAAAATCATATCAGTAAAGAAAATGTCAACAACAGTTCACCGTTAAAAAAAAAAAAAAATACAATGAACATTAATAAAACCGAGAAAGTCGGAAAGAGAAAAAAAAATAATGATCAAATGGACACAAGAAAAGCTTATTCATAATTATTTACCGGAGCTCACCTGATCAAAAGAATCATCATTATTCAGTTTTCCTCTTTGCGCATGCGTGAGTGTCTGTGTCCCACTGGTGTCCAGACTAATGATGCTCTCACTGCAAGGTCTGACGTATTTCAGATCACTCTTTCTGGAGTCAGTGGTTCTGCAAACCTCATAATTGTACACGTGCTGTAAAGTTCCTGTGCCACCTACGTCTGCGTAAAGAGGCGGATAATACGGAATAACTGGAAGATTCGCTCCAGATTTATAAAACATCCGCTCGCGTTTCCATCTGTAGCATTTGACTGACAGTATGGCGATGATAGACACGATAAAGAGAAATGAAACCACAGCCAAGGCCAAGACTAGATAGAAAGTCAGGTTCTCGTTGTATTCCTTGTCGTGCGTAAAGTCAGTGAACTCCGAGAGCACTTCAGGGAAGCTGTCCGCCACCGCCACGTTAACAATGACTGTAGCTGATCGAGAGGGCTGTCCGTTGTCCTCCACTACAACAGTGAGTCTTTGTTTGACAGCATCTTTATCTGTCACTTGGCGTACAGTTCTTATTTCTCCATTCTGTGCGCCCACTTCAAACAGCGCCCTGTCTGTGGCTTTCTGCAGTTTATATGAGAGCCAGGCGTTCTGACCAGAGTCCACATCTACAGCCACCACTTTAGTCACCAGATAACCCACATCTGCCGATCGAGGCACTATTTCAGCCACCACAGAAACACCTGACTGGACCGGGTACAGAACCTGAGGCGCGTTGTCATTCTGGTCCTGAATGATGATTTTGACGCTCGCGTTGCTGCTGAGAGGAGGAGAGCCTCCGTCCTGCGCTTTTACGCGAATGTTAAACTCTTTTGTTTGCTCATAATCAAAAGAACGAACAGCAAGAATCTCTCCGCTCTCTGCATTCACTGAAATATAAGTCGAGGCAGAGACGCCATTCACGAGAACATCCTCTAGAAAATATGAAACACGCGCGTTATTGCCAGAGTCTTTGTCATGCGCTTTAACAGATAAAACAGAGACTCCCGGGGAATTATTTTCCAGCACATATGCGGTGTATGACTGACGCTGAAACACAGGGGCGTTGTCATTGACATCAGAGATTTTCAGAGTCAGTGTTTTATTAGTAGAGAAAGATGGCGAGCCCTCATCTATAGCAGTTATTGTGATATTATATTCTGATATTTTCTCACGATCTAATAATTGATCGGTTGTCACACTATAGAAATTTGGGGCAGATGACCTTATTTTGAATGGTAAATTTGGACCAATTAAACATTTAACCTGTCCGTTTCTCCCCGAATCCAAATCTTTGACATTCAGCATCGCTATCACTGTGTCCGGCGCTGCGTCCTCGGGAATTGGGTTAGAAAATGAAATAACGCTAATTATAGGTGCATTGTCATTAACGTCAATTAATTCAATAATAACTTTACAGGAATCTGTTAGGCCACCTTTATCTGTTGCTTCAACGTGTAATTGAAAATGTTTTGATTTTTCGAAATCTAAGTCACCATTAACAGTGATGCCACCACTTACAGAATCTATATTGAATAGCTCTAAAGCCTTTCCTGATGTTTGTGAGAAGGAATACGTCAGTTCAGAATTTGTTCCTTTGTCTTTATCAGTTGCAGTCACACTCACTATATAAGTGCCCTTTGGTGAATTCTCCAGTAAGGAAACTCTATACACAGGGAGACTAAATACAGGAGCATTGTCGTTTGCATCGAGCACAAGAACAGTTATTTTAATAGTGCCTGATTTCTGTGGACTGCCGCCATCAAACGCCGTCAATGTCAGTTTATGCTCCTCTTGATTTTCTCTATCGAGTGGTTTTTGTAGAATCATTTCAACATATTTCAATCCGTCATTTCCCATCTGTTCTTTCAGAGAAAAGTAATCAGTTGGATTGAGCGTGTATCTCTGAAGGGTATTTAAACCGACATCAGAATCTTGCGCATTGTCTAAAGAGAATTTAGCTCCAGGAATGGCTGATTCGCTTATTTGAAAATCGATTTCCTTTCTACTGAATGTAGGAGCATTATCATTAATATCAAATATTTCCACATCAATTCTATGCAGCTCCATGGGGTTTTCTAGAATGATCTGAAAATGTAAGGAGCAGGGAGACACTTGCGCGCACAGCTCCTCTCTATCTATCCTCTCTTTCACTATCAGCGTCCCTTTATCCACATTCAGACCGATGTACTCACGACTGTCCTCCGTAAAGATCCGCGCTCGACCAGATTTCAGCCTCTTAACATCCAAACCGAGATCCTGAACGATATTTCCCACCACAGAGCCCTTTGTCATCTCCTCTGGAATAGAATAACGGACCTGCCCGCGCGCAACGGCCATGACAAAGACGCAGAGCACGAGACGCTGCATTAGCCATGATGACATCCGCGTCGAAGATGCGCCTCTCTGGGCGTAAAAACAACAAAGAACCGACATCATCCAAATCTTCTATTCCATACAGAAGAAAAGACAAAGAACAAAAGATTTAAAAATGGTGAAAAATCAAACTTCACCCGAAAACACTGAGAAGCGAATGTCTCGACGCTTCAGTGTTAAAAAGAGACCGTCCGAATGAAAGAGATATTCTGCAGACTGTATGATGTCAGAAAGTGGAGGAGGATCTAAAAATGAGTGTTTAAAACACGAACATACTGACCAACAGCGGCACTTAGTGCATCACAGAAATATTACACAGAAAAATACTGTTGAGGAGAAATACACAAACTGCGACCATTGTAGTATAGGCTACATTTGCGTTAAAACAGCTGAAATATAAATAAAATATTTTTGAACCGAACACCTAAAATATGATGAGAGGAAAAGAGTCAAAAACAAAATATAAAACAGAATTTAAATATTGCAGGAGCAATTCATTATATGACTCACCCATAAATACGCAGAATAAAAAAAAAAAAAAAACTTTTCTTGACTGAGTGCAGGTGGAGAAATATATATATTTAAAGGCTATGCATGTAATTTCCTATTAACTATAGTCGAAAAGGTACGATTTAATATGAAATTTTGAAAAAGTAGTCACCAATATGATAATACAGTAACTTTCAACTATAGCTGCCAGTGTTTTTCTATTATTATAATAATAAAGACATATGTACAGTGAATATCAATAAAACTGACGAAGTCAGAAAAAGAAAAATAATAGTTAAATGAAAAAAGGAAAATCATCGACCTCACCTGATCAAAAGAATCATCATCATTCAGGTTTCCTCTTTGCGCATGCGTGAGTGTGTGTGTCCCACTGGTGTCCAGACTAATGATGCTCTCACTGCAAGGTCTGACGTATTTCAGACCACTCTTTCTGGAGTCAGTGGTTCTGCAAACCTCATAATTGTACACGTGCTGTAAAGTTCCTGTGCCGCCTACGTCTGCGTAAAGAGGCGGATAATACGGAATAACTGGAAGATTCGCTCCAGATTTATAAAACATCCGCTCGCGCCTCCATCTGTAGCATTTGACTGACAGTATGGCGATGATAGACACGATAAAGAGAAATGAAACCACAGCCAAGGCCAAGACTAGATAGAAAGTCAAGTTCTCGTTGTATTCCTTGTCGTGCGTAAAGTCAGTGAACTCCGAGAGCACTTCAGGGAAGCTGTCCGCCACCGCCACGTTAACAATGACTGTAGCTGATCGAGAGGGCTGTCCGTTGTCCTCCACTACAACAGTGAGTCTTTGTTTGACAGCATCTTTATCTGTCACTTGGCGTACAGTTCTTATTTCTCCATTCTGTGCGCCCACTTCAAACAGCGCCCTGTCTGTGGCTTTCTGCAGTTTATATGAGAGCCAGGCGTTCTGACCAGAGTCCACATCTACAGCCACCACTTTAGTCACCAGATAACCCACATCTGCCGATCGAGGCACTATTTCAGCCACCACAGAAACACCTGACTGGACCGGGTACAGAACCTGAGGCGCGTTGTCATTCTGGTCCTGAATGATGATTTTGACGCTCGCGTTGCTGCTGAGAGGAGGAGAGCCTCCGTCCTGCGCTTTTACGCGAATGTTAAACTCTTTTGTTTGCTCATAATCAAAAGAACGAACAGCAAGAATCTCTCCGCTCTCTGCATTCACTGAAATATAAGTCGAGGCAGAGACGCCATTCACGAGAACATCCTCTAGAAAATATGAAACGCGCGCGTTATTGCCAGAGTCTTTGTCATGCGCTTTAACAGATAAAACAGAGACTCCGGGGAATTATTTTCCAGCACATATGCGGTGTATGACTGACGCTGAAACACAGGGGCGTTGTCATTGACATCAGAGATTTTCAGAGTCAGTGTTTTATTAGTAGAGAAAGATGGCGAGCCCTCATCAATAGCAGTTATTGTGATATTATATTCTGAGATTATCTCCCGATCCAAAAGCTCATCAGTGACTACACTGTAAAAATTCGGGGTTGATGATTTTATTTTAAACGGTAAATTATGAGGAATGAAGCACTTTACTACTCCGTTTTTACCTGAATCTAAATCTTTGACATTCAACATTGCTATTACAGTCTCCGGCGCTGAATTCTCCGGCACGGGGCTTGAAAATGAAATTACGCTTATTATTGGAGCATTGTCATTTATATCAGTAATTTCAATATGTACTTTGCTGATATCACTTAACCCCCCTTTGTCTGTTGCTTCCACGGATAATTCATATTTTTTGTATTTCTCGAAATCTAACGGACCATTAACTGTAATATCTCCAGAACTGGAATCAATGTTAAAAAGGCCAGAAGAGCCTTCACTGCTCTGAGAAAAAGAATATGTAACCTCTCCATTAGACCCCATGTCTCCATCAGTTGCACTAACCTTTAACACAGTGGATCCTTTAGAATAATTCTCTGGAATTAAAGCTCTATAGACCGACTGACTGAAAACAGGCGCATTGTCATTTGCATCTAAAACAATGACGTTTATCTTGATAGTGCCCGTTTTTTGAGGGTTTCCGCCGTCGAATGCAGTCAAGATCAATTTATGTTCCTCTGCCGTTTCTCTGTCAAGGGGTTTTTGCAAAATCATCTCTATGTATTTTGTTTCGTCGAGATGAGCAGGTATTTTAACTGTAAAATGATCAGACGAAGTTAATTTATATGTCTGAAGAGAATTTATACCTACATCTGGATCATTAGCGCTATCGATTGAAAATCGAGCCCCTGACAAAGCAGATTCACTCATTTGAAATGTAATCTCCTTTTTCTTGAAAACTGGAGCATGGTCATTAATATCTAATATTTCCACATCAATTCTATGCAGCTCCATGGGGTTTTCTAGAATGATCTGAAAATGTAAGGAGCAGGGAGACACTTGCGCGCACAGCTCCTCTCTATCTATCCTCTCTTTCACTATCAGCGTCCCTTTATCCACATTCAGACCGATGTACTCACGACTGTCCTCCGTAAAGATCCGCGCTCGACCAGACTTCAGCCTCTTAACATCCAAACCGAGATCCTGAACGATATTTCCCACCACAGAGCCCTTTGTCATCTCCTCTGGAATAGAATAACGGACCTGCCCGCGCGCAACGGCCATGACAAAGACGCAGAGCACGAGACGCTGCATTAGCCATGATGAAATCCGCGTCGAAGATGCGCCTCTCTGGGCGTAAAAACAACAAAGAACCGACATCATCCAAATCTTCTATTCCATACAGAAGAAAAGACAAAGAACGAAAGATTTAAAAAGGTTGAAAAATCGATCTTCACCCGAAAACACTGAGGAGTGAATGTCTCGACGCTTCAGTGTTAAAAAGAGACCGTCCGAATGAAAGAGATATTCTGCAGACTGTATGATGTCAGAAAGTGGAGGAGGATCTAAAAATGAGTGTTTAAAACACGAACATACTGACCAACAGCGGCACTTAGTGCATCACAGAAATATTACAGTGAAAAATACTGTTGAAGAGAAATACAAAAACTATATGAACTGCGACCATTGTAGTGTACATTTGCGTTAAAACAGCTGTAATATAAATAAAATATATTTTGAACCGAACACTTATATTATGATGAGAGGGAAATAATCAAAAGCAAAATATAAAATAGCATTTAAATATTGCAGGAGCAATTCATTATATGGCTCACCCATGCGCGCAAATACGCAGAATATTTTTTTTTACTTGACTGAGTGTATAAATATATATTTTTTAAAGACTATGTATGTAACTTCCTATTAACTATAGTCAAAAAGGTACGATTATTATATGAAACTTTGAAAAAAGGATTCACCAAAATGATTAGTACAATTTCAACTGCCAGTGTTTTTGTATTAATAATAATAATAACCAAGACATATATCTGTATAGTGCACATCAATTAACTGATAAAGTTAGAAAAAGAAAAATAATAGTTAAATGAAAAACAGAAAATCATATGCATAACTATTGAATCGAGCTCACCTGATCAAAAGAATCATCATTATTCAGTTTTCCTCTTTGCGCATGCGTGAGTGTGTGTGTCCCACTGGTGTCCAGACTAATGATGCTCTCACTGCAAGGTCTGACGTATTTCAGATCACTCTTTCTGGAGTCAGTGGTTCTGCAAACCTCATAATTGTACACGTGCTGTAAAGTTCCTGTGCCGCCTACGTCTGCGTAAAGAGGCGGATAATACGGAATAACTGGAAGATTCGCTCCAGATTTATAAAACATCCGCTCGCGTTTCCATCTGTAGCATTTGACTGACAGTATGGCGATGATAGACACGATAAAGAGAAATGAAACCACAGCCAAAGCCAAGACTAGATAGAAAGTCAGGTTCTCGTTGTATTCCTTGTCGTGCGTAAAGTCAGTGAACTCCGAGAGCACTTCGGGGAAGCTGTCCGCCACCGCCACGTTAACAATGACTGTAGCTGATCGAGAGGGCTGTCCGTTGTCCTCCACTACAACAGTGAGTCTTTGTTTGACAGCATCTTTATCTGTCACTTGGCGTACAGTTCTTATTTCTCCATTCTGTGCGCCCACTTCAAACAGCGCCCTGTCTGTGGCTTTCTGCAGTTTATATGAGAGCCAGGCGTTCTGACCAGAGTCCACATCTACAGCCACCACTTTAGTCACCAGATAACCCACATCTGCCGATCGAGGCACTATTTCAGCCACCACAGAAACACCTGACTGGACCGGGTACAGAACCTGAGGCGCGTTGTCATTCTGGTCCTGAATGATGATTTTGACGCTCGCGTTGCTGCTGAGAGGAGGAGAGCCTCCGTCCTGCGCTTTTACGCGAATGTTAAACTCTTTTGTTTGCTCATAATCAAAAGAACGAACAGCAAGAATCTCTCCGCTCTCTGCATTCACTGAAATATAAGTCGAGGCAGAGACGCCATTCACGAGAACATCCTCTAGAAAATATGAAACACGCGCGTTATTGCCAGAGTCTTTGTCATGCGCTTTAACAGATAAAACAGAGACTCCGGGGGAATTATTTTCCAGCACATATGCGGTGTATGACTGACGCTGAAACACAGGGGCGTTGTCATTGACATCAGAGATTTTCAGAGTCAGTGTTTTATTAGTAGAGAAAGATGGCGAGCCCTCATCAATAGCAGTTATTGTGATATTATATTCTGAGATCATCTCCCGATTCAAAAGCTCATCAGTGACTACACTGTAGAAATTCGGGGTTGATGATTTTATTTTAAACGGCAAATTATGAGGAATGAAGCACTTTACTATTCCGTTTTTACCCGAATCTAAATCTTTGACATTCAACATTGCTATTACAGTCTCTGGCGCTGAATTCTCCGGCACTGGGCTTGAAAATGAAATTACGCTTATTATTGGAGCATTGTCATTTATATCAGTAATTTCAATATGAACTTTACTGGTATCACTTAATCCGCCTTTGTCTGTTGCTTCCACGTATAATTCATACTTATTTGATTTCTCGAAATCTAACGGTCCATTAACTGTAATTTCCCCATTACTGGAATCAATTTGGAAAAAGTTAGATAAACGTTCACTGCTCTTGGAAAAAGAATATATAACCTCTCCATTAGACCCCATGTCTCCATCAGTTGCACTAACCTTTAACACAGTGGATCCTTTAGAATAATTCTCTGGAATTAAAGCTCTATAGACCGACTGACTGAAAACAGGCGCATTGTCATTTGCATCTAAAACAATGACGTTTATCTTGATAGTGCCCGTTTTTTGAGGGTTTCCGCCGTCGAATGCAGTCAAGATCAATTTATGTTCCTCTGCCGTTTCTCTGTCAAGGGGTTTTTGCAAAATCATCTCTACGTACTTTGTGTCGTCGAGATGAGCAGGTATTTTAACTGTAAAATGATCAGATGGAATTAATTTATATGTCTGAAGAGAATTTATACCTACATCTGGATCATTAGCGCTATCGATTGAATATCGAGCCCCTGACAAAGCAGATTCACTTATTTGAAAAGTAATCTCTTTGTTAATGAAAGAAGGAGCATGATCATTTATATCTAATATTTCTACATCAATTCTATGCAGTTCCATGGGGTTTTCTAGAATGATCTGAAAATGTAAGGAGCAGGGAGACACTTGCGCGCACAGCTCCTCTCTATCTATCCTCTCTTTCACTATCAGCGTCCCTTTATCCACATTTAGACCGATGTACTCACGACTGTCCTCCGTAAAGATCCGCGCTCGACCAGATTTCAGCCTCTTAACATCCAAACCGAGATCCTGAACGATATTTCCCACCAGAGAGCCCTTTGTCATCTCCTCTGGAATAGAATAACGGACCTGCCCGCGCGCAACGGCCATGACAAAGACGCAGAGCACGAGACGCTGCATTAGCCATGATGAAATCCGCGTCGAAGATGCGCCTCTCTGGGCGTAAAAACAACAAAGAACCGACATCATCCAAATCTTCTATTCCATACAGAAGAAAAGACAAAGAACAAAAGATTTAAAAAGGTTGAAAAATCAAACTTCACCCGAAAACACTGAGAAGCGAATGTCTCGACGCTTCAGTATTAAAAAGAGACCGTCCGAATGAAAGAGATATTCTGCAGACTGTGTGATGTCAGAAAGTGGAGGAGGATCTAAAAATGAGTGTTTAAAACACGAACATACTGACCAACAGCGGCACTTAGTGCATCACAGAAATATTACACAGAAAAATACTGTTGAGGAGAAATACCACTGCGACCATTGTAGTGTATATTTGCGTTAAAACAGCTGAAATATAAATAGAATATTTTTGAACCGAACACCTAAAATATCATGAGAGGAAAATAGTCAAAAGCAAAATATAAAATATAAAACAGCGTTTAAATATTGCAGGAGCAATTCATTATAGGACTCACCCATGCGCGCAAATATGCAGAATAAAAAAAAAAAAAAAAAACTTTTCTTGACTGAGTGCAGGTGGAGAAATATATATATATATTTAAAGGCTATGTATGTAATTTCCTATTAACTATAGTCGAAAAGGTACGATTTAATATGATATTTTGAAAAAAGTAGTCACCAATAAGATAATACAGTAACTTTCAATAGCTGCCAGTGTTTTTCTATTATTATAATAATAAAGACATATGTACAGTGAACATCAATAAAACTGATGAAGTCAGAAAAAGAAAAATAATAGTTAAATGCAAAAAGGAAAATCATCGAGCTCACCTGATCAAAAGAATCATCATTATTCAGTTTTCCTCTTTGCGCATGCGTGAGTGTGTGTGTTCCACTGGTGTCCAGACTAATGATGCTCTCACTGCAAGGTCTGACGTATTTCAGATCACTCTTTCTGGAGTCAGTGGTTCTGCAAACCTCATAATTGTACACGTGCTGTAAAGTTCCTGTGCCGCCTACGTCTGCGTAAAGAGGCGGATAATACGGAATAACTGGAAGATTCGCTCCAGATTTATAAAACATCCGCTCGCGCCTCCATCTGTAGCATTTGACTGACAGTATGGCGATGATAGACACGATAAAGAGAAATGAAACCACAGCCAAGGCCAAGACTAGATAGAAAGTCAGGTTCTCGTTGTATTCCTTGTCGTGCGTAAAGTCAGTGAACTCCGAGAGCACTTCAGGGAAGCTGTCCGCCACCGCCACGTTAACAATGACTGTAGCTGATCGAGAGGGCTGTCCGTTGTCCTCCACTACAACAGTGAGTCTTTGTTTGACAGCATCTTTATCTGTCACTTGGCGTACAGTTCTTATTTCTCCATTCTGTGCGCCCACTTCAAACAGCGCCCTGTCTGTGGCTTTCTGCAGTTTATATGAGAGCCAGGCGTTCTGACCAGAGTCCACATCTACAGCCACCACTTTAGTCACCAGATAACCCACATCTGCCGATCGAGGCACTATTTCAGCCACCACAGAAACACCTGACTGGACCGGGTACAGAACCTGAGGCGCGTTGTCATTCTGGTCCTGAATGATGATTTTGACGCTCGCGTTGCTGCTGAGAGGAGGAGAGCCTCCGTCCTGCGCTTTTACGCGAATGTTAAACTCTTTTGTTTGCTCATAATCAAAAGAACGAACAGCAAGAATCTCTCCGCTCTCTGCATTCACTGAAATATAAGTCGAGGCAGAGACGCCATTCACGAGAATATCCTCTAGAAAATATGAAACGCGCGCGTTATTGCCAGAGTCTTTGTCATGCGCTTTAACAGATAAAACAGAGACTCCGGGGGAATTATTTTCCAGCACATATGCGGTGTATGACTGACGCTGAAACACAGGGGCGTTGTCATTGACATCAGAGATTTTCAGAGTCAGTGTTTTATTAGTAGAGAAAGATGGCGAGCCCTCGTCTATAGCAGTTATTGTGATATTATATTCAGACATGTTTTCACGGTCTAAAGGCTGATCAGTGATCAAACTATAGAAATTTGAGGATGATTGTCTGATTTGAAATGGTAAACTCGGATTAATTAAACATCTCACCTGTCCATTTTTCCCTGAATCCAAATCTTTGACATTCAGCATCGCTATCACGGTTTCAGGAGCTGAGTTTTCTGGTAAAGGGTTTG